AAATTTTATCTCCTTTTATTCTAGGCCGATTGTTGGGATAAAGTTCGTAAGGCAATTGCCTCATTTACGTTATATTCTTGGGTTGGGATCGCTTTGATTAGTTTGTGGTCTTTGGACGTTAGGCTTTCGAATTTGGAGTATCAAGTTGGAGTATCGCGTGACAAATGACAAACTAAATAGTGAAATAGTATTATTTTATTAATAAATAATTTATATTTATAATAAACATGCATAACCATTACAACAATTGAAATTAATGTACAACATCACATAATCACCAAACTTCATAAAGATTACATCATAACTAACTACAATAATAGGAAGATAAAGAGAAAATAATGTGGCCATTGGTTTTGAAGACTTTTCTTTCGTTTTAAACTTAAGGGCGAAATCAGATTTTGAGAACCATCCTATTTGGATTTGGTTTTCTCAGGTCATCATTTTGGGCCCTAAAAGTCTAGAAAATAGGCCTGCAAAAATAAAATAAATACATAATTAATTAAAGATAATCAAATTTGGGTCAGGTCCATACCAAAGTCCAACCCAAACCCAATCAGGCCCATCAGATTGGTCAAGCCCAGTCAGGCCCTTCAATTTGGTCAAGGCCCGGTCAACGGATCGACCCGATCAGATCTGTATCCAACCCAGACCGGTTCGTCCATTTGACTCAAACCCTGGTTCGACCTGAATCAAGTCGGTTACTGTAGCTACAGTACATTCCCAATATAAATACAACATGCCTGGGCAGCAGAGAAGGCAGATACAGATATCCTCATTCGGATCCCAAAGAAGTAAAAAGCAGTAAAGAAAAGCACCAAAAAAAAAACCATTCAACTCCGCCCCAACTTTCCCCAACTTTCCCTAAGATCACGAGCAGAGTTTGTGTAAGAACCCAGAAGCTTGTAAAAGTAAAAAAAAGCCAAACTTCCAACCCCCACCTTTTCTGCTCCCATACAAAAGCTTCCAAGCAAAGTGGAGCAGGAGAAAGCGACTGAAGCAAAGAAGCTAGGACCAGTAGAGGCCAACAGAAGGAAACAAACAAACAACCACCACCATCCCGATCACAAGCCATGGTAGGTTTTCTCATCACAAAAAACCAATCATCATCACCATTTCACGCCCTACATACTTAAAAAACACCAATATATGTCTACTTTCTATGCTTTCTATATCTGATTCTTTACTTCCTAAGCTTGTTTATGTCTACTTTCTATGCTTTCTATATCTGATTCTTTACTTCCTAAGCTTGTTTGTTCTACTTTCTATGCTTTCTATATCTGTTTCTTTACTTCCTAAGCTTGTTTGTTCTACTTTCCATGCTTATTTTCTTGGCTTCCTAAACTCTTTCTATATCTGTTTCTTTACTTCCTAAGCTTGTTTGTTCTACTTTCCATGCTTATTTTCTTGGCTTCCTAAACTCGTTTCTTACTTTCTGCAACTGTCTGTTTTATTTTCCAATTATATCAACTAAAGAAGCTCATCTCAAAGAAGCATCCAAGCTCTTCGATTAAAATAAGAAAAAAACAGTAAACTCAAAACATATGTGGATGTTGGCATCAACCAACCTTTGTTGTTTAGTTTATACACTACTTTTACCACTAATATATTTAAATATGACACACCTTAAAACACTATATCCTACCCAAACTTGCTAATCATTGACTAGGTAGTTTAAGTAATCTGCCAATCCCAAAGTTCTCGTTTTTATTAAGCTCAGAAAACTAAAGTTTTGAACTTTTAAAGAAACCAGAAACAAGGACCTGTTACCATACAAGCAAGAACAATTTTTGAAAGGTATTTTAAAATACCTTGTTTTTGTTTAAAGGGCTTCCCCTATATCTTAAACTCAAGACTTTAGTTGAAGTCTAACACTTAGGTATTATTTTTAACCAGTCTGGCAAGAGCTTTAGCTGTTGCTAAACCCCTTTTACCTTGCTTCTTATGATGATGTAAATCGCTTAAAATCTGTTTTTTACTAAGTCATGTGCTCAGCAAAAAAAATATAGGGGGATTTCACCTGTGAAGTTCTCATCCTGAATCTGCAAAATCATAGAGGTCTAGAGTCAGAACTCCAAATGAAAAACCAAGATAGCAAAAAAAAGCACAAGAGCAGAATCTACCTAAAGCCTTCGCCGTCGGCTGTGGTGTAGTCCACGACGCCGGCGACCGTCGCCTTTCATTTCCTTCTCTCGGCAGAAGCCCGAGCAACCAAAAATAAAAAACAAAACAAGATTAAAACAAGTTAAAAACTCGATTTAAGTATCTAAATCAGGCAAACATGTAATGCATGTCCGATTAAGCTTACCAGAGGTCAGATCCCCTAGTCATCATCGTGTCCTTAACCAGAATCAAAAGCCTTTTCCTCGGTTTAGAGTCAGTTTCCGAAAAACAAGAGATAAGAGAGTAAGAACTCCAAAGCCTTAAGTCACATCTGAAAGAAATCGAACCTCTAGGACTCCCTAGCCGTCGTCGTTGGCAGCTCTTGTCGTCGGGTGCCGCCGGCGACGCCTTCCTTTTACTCGCCGCCTCCAGAAATAAGGTGATTGAGAAGTTGTAGGTGGCGGCGGTATTTTGATGATAAGCTTCTAGGTTTTTGGCTTGCTCTTCTTCAGGGAGGATAGGAGTAAGGGGGGAGCGGTGTTTCGTTAGGGTTTTGGTTGATTTTGGACGAGATAGTTGAACGGCGACTAAGAGAAGTGGCTAGGGTTTTCGGTTGATTCTCTGGAAGAGAGGCGAGAGGTTTGGAGAGAGAGTGAAGTGAGAGGAGGCCGCTTTTGGTCTGATTAGGTTAGGGTTTCCAATTTCAACTTAAGAGACGAATTTATACTCACCCGAAAAAAGACTAACTTACCCCTAGGTTTTCGCTTTAATTACACTCCCTTCCCACCGCGTTTTTGGCTTTTTACCAAACTGCCCTTCCCCCTTTAGCCGCACCAAAAGAGAAAATCGGTAAAATTGGAGACTGCGGGTCTCGAACCCCCATTCGCGGATTAGAACTCGACCTGACACCACCCCATCCAGTTGGGTTGTTCGCCTGTTATGCGTTAATTTAATCCTCCCATTTAATTTTATTATTTAATATCCATTAATACGAAATGTTGAGATGCGGTTTAAGCTTATCTTTGTTTTTTGTCCATTACATCGAATTACCTCCCCAAATACTAAAATCCTTGCAAGATATAAATTTAAATCTCATTAACAAAAATTATAATGCGAAAATCACTTTCAGTAGAAAGCGATAAAAATTACACCTAAAACGAATCAAAGTCAAGAGCCATGATCGTTGGAACGTGGTTAAATTTACTTGCTAAATCATCAAAGTTTTAATTCGAACTACGTGGACTTTGATCTTGGTTAACCCGGGTACGTAGGCAACCGATAGGTTCGAGTCCAACCAATCTAAAAACCCATTTTACGTCAATATACGTGGAAACCGGCAACTTTAAATTCAAGTTTATACCAATAACATCGTCCAATTGGACTCTAATAATTTACATTCAAACTAATTAAAAATAATCGAATATTACGTTTAAATACACAAACAAATCCCAATTAATATTGCACCCAACCCTTTTAAAACTTATCGATTTAAGTAGTACCCGTTATGGGGCGTTGTGGGGTGTGAATATACTTCCCCACACGTAACCGTACTCCCGAATCTAGAACAATCTAAAATTCGCAGACCAGAATCCTGGTTTTAAAAAAAATTAAAACCAGAAAAGGGTGTTCGACCCACCCCAAATTTGGTCGATGGCGACTCCGGTCAGTTCGCGACGGATCGCCCTGATTCGCCAGGGGGCGGTTGCGACACTGGCGACTCCGCTGGGGACATACCTGAGTCAAACTACATTAATCGTCGATAAGTTTTTCTTACTTTATTTTAATGGGTGTTATATGTTTATTATATCAATTTGCGCTTTAAATTTGTTATGTATTTCAATTTTTTCTTTGCATCCATTCATAAAAGCTCTATTCCCGAGCGGTCCTTATAGCAAAAAGGGGAGGAAGTAGTGTGACTCCTACAATAGTAGGGGAAATGCGAAAACTTCCCAACCAGGTTGAACTCAAATCCGAGGATGATTTGGGGTATCATGCTAAAACTCGAAAGAGTGATAGTGTGGTACAACTTGGGAGCCTAATTCCTTAAGGTCCCCTATCCAACATATAGTTTGCCTGGAAACTGCCTAAGCCGCAACTTAATCCCAGAGCCTATCCAAAAACACGACGTTATGCTGCCGAAAAATCCCTAGGGTTACCTAACTATCTTGTTTTATTAGAACAAGTGTTACATATTTATTGCTCGTTTTTTTTCGAATTGCTAAATGTTATTGCCTTTTTTTTTATTTCTTGTCGTTATTTAAATGTACTACAATTTAGGTCTGTTCCTTCTCATTATTATAAAAAAATTTCGAAACAATGAAAGGAATCTAAATTGACAACAACACGCATGCATCACCATGCATTCTCATGTTATGATTATCGCGCACAGTTAACTTGGAATCTATTATGTATGATGTTAGATCGATCAAATGGCGAGAAACCTAGCCGACTTCGACATAGCTATCATCCCCAACTTCATGCCCAGACCCGCATGGGCAGATTCGATGATAGACAATATGAGGAGGCTGCCGGTAGAGATCGCACTGAACATCATGTTTAGGACTCTCAAAGGGTATTCAGAGTCCTTTGTTGAAAGATCAAAGAGGGAACTAATCAATACCCATGGATAGTACGATGCTCCGGTGAAGCACCTCAATTGGTATCCGGAGCTCATGTGCATGAATTTGTTCTATATACCATTAAACGAGTATCAAGAGATGTCAAAAGAAGTTTATTGTATGCTGAGGCATATGGTGCGGTTGAATCACATAGGAATTATCCTTCATAAACCCACATTGAGACGATGTATCCAGCAATGGATTCTTTTTCCAGACAATATCAATATCTTTGGAAGATGGCTCCTCGAACACGCCCAACTCGGCGGATGGTTTGGGCTCGTAATGGAGCCAAGGACTTTGAACTATATGGCCATTACACTTCATATAAACAGGGAAGTTCAGGTCGTCGAAGAGGGTTTTGAACTGGTGAAGGTCCCATGGGCCGTACTAGAAGGAAGCTCGATTGAGAACCCGACAATCGAGCCGTCTAGGGTGCCCGGATATTGGATACATCTGAAAGAAAAACTTCGTGATCTGAACCACCTCTTACCACGTCAAGTTCCAGCAGCGCTCATGACCCCAAAAGGATATCACTACGATGGGAGGATCAAGGAGTGTTACTTACCAACACTCTCCATGACAAACAACTTAATAGAGCAAAATAATTATGGCCTGAGGCGAGTGGCAACAGCTCATGCCTATTTGATCGAACAAGCTTTCATTGAGGATGTGCTTCTCCCGGAGCCAGCGCTCCCACATCAGTAAGAAGATAAGAGGCCTTCGGGAGGTCGACTTGTTGGAAGGAAGGTCGACACTTTTGAAAATTTTGCCCCGAGGCCCCTCCGCAGAAAGGAGCATGCGGCCTTGATGCCTTTTCCATTTATTATAGTAATGGGAAAGATGCCTGGGATAGAGTGGCTAGTGACGCCACCTTTGTATATATTCTGTAAATAACGGAAGTTTGTCCCAGTTGATCGAACAAAAGTCTGATTTTGTATTTAACGACTATATGGTTTATTCAATTTTAACTGTGCGCGACAATCATAACATTGCATACATGCATCTGCATTTGTTAAGAATATAATATGGATTACTGACGGTTAATCTCATGATTAGGTTTTGTCACCAGATAAAATTTCTGTTTTGGGAACTTCGTTATCGCAAGATGGCATATCTGTTGGTTCAGGGGGAAAAGAGTGTGATGGATCAGTCAATTAAGGAACAAAAAGATAAAGGAGACATGTTAATGCAAAGAATAGAGCTTCGACCCATGGGATCAGTAGAGATTATTGATAACCCAATTCATATACTGAGGCAAGCATGACAACAATTCACTCAACAAGAAAGAGCGGCATTTGAACAGAGATATGGTCAAATGGCTGATCTACTCGATGTACCGTTCCCAGCCGACATGATCCAGGAAATCCTAAATTACTGGGACCCATTCTACAGTTGTTTCTCTGTCCATGAATTGGATTTTTCCCCGCTGCTCGAGGAATATCAATCAATCCTGCAGATAAATATAAGCCATTCATACAAGATATATGTGAACCGGCCAGATCAGAACACGAAAAAGGCACTATCAAGGATACTGGGGATCGACAAAGAACGGGCTCAAAACATGATAGAGTCAAGCGGGGGGCCGGAACGAGTTCACATGAATCAACTCATGCCATACCTCAACCAAACAGCAAAAGTCGGATGCCACATGGAGGCGTTTGCTCTGCTTATATATGGGTTCATACTCTATCCCAGCCTACCCAACTATGTCGACAGTTTCGCCATCAAGGTGCTCCAACAAAATTTGATCGACGCCAACCCCATCACCTCAATATTATCGGAGACTCTCATCGCCCTTAGTCGATGTCGTTACTCCGAAGGAGGTTACTTATATGGGTGCACATCCTTGCTCGTGGTATGGCTTTTTGGGCATCTCAAGCCCTCTCCTAGTCATGGGATCCCAGATGTCCAGTATTCATTGGTGTATGATGGCTACAGAAGATCGATTCAAGAATTCACCGGAACATCACCAATTTACATGCAAGTTGTTGCTAGTCAATGGAGCGATTTCTTTGCCTCATTCGGAAAGCACAATATGGCATGGAAGGCACCATGGATGACCGAAGAATGTATCCTATATGGATTTGATGAGAAGCATTGGGTACCATTACTAGGGCCAACCGGATGTGTGGCGTATGCACCAAACATGTTTAGGAGGCAGGTCGGTTGTCTTCAATTCACTCCGATGACCGGCGGAATGGGAGAGTTGAACTTCACTTACTCAGATCCGGATGTGGAGACAAAGAGTAAAAATGCCATAAAGTTATGGAAGCAACCAAGGCTCATCGATCATTCAATGAGCGATGAATACAATAGAAGATTTCCAGACCTTCACTCATCTGTGGCTCCAGAATACGTAACCTGGAGTGAAAACAGGGGAAGAGCTCTTACCATGAGGATGAAAGGAAAGAGAAAAGTGACTTATGAGTCGGCACTACCCCCTAGAATCCACTTACATGGAAGCATGGTTGCAAAAGATATGGAAATAAGCAGGCTACAAAGGGAAAATGATGAAATGAAGATGCACCTGAATGGGAGGGGTGATAAAGAAAGAAATCTCGAGACCACCAATGAGACTTTGAAAAGGAAGGTAGAAAGCTTGGAGAACACTCGCAGTCAACAGAGGATCACAATCAATGAACAGCATGAGGCCAATGTCGCTCTCGGGGAAAGGGTAAACCAGTTAGAAGAGATGGGCCAGCGACTGGAATTGGCTGTAAATAGATATTATCAAGAGATTGAAAGGCTTCAACAGAAGGTCAACCAGTTAATCGAGAAAAAGGAGGAGCTCCAGGCAGAAGGGCATGGGTGGCAAAATATGGCACAAGCGGCAGAGAACAATTACCTCAATGAGACTGCCAAAGTAAATTGCCTCAAGGGGTTAGTCACCGATGCAACAAGAAGGGCACATGGGCTATCAGTTCAAATTGAAGAAGTAAGGCAACAAGTTTCTCAATCGGAAAACCCGGATCACAACCTCCAAACTTCCCTCGAGAAGATCCAGCAAGAGCTTATGTACTATAGCCAATTCCACTTTTAAAGGCTAAAGACGTATGTTCAGTGGTTATATGTAATAGTTTGAATTATGTGACTGGGATGTAATAAGGGCTTGGTAGTACTTGGGTAGAAGGCGGTGTGTAATAATTTGGTTCGGTAGTAGAAAGGAGGATGCATTATGACAATACTTTCGGACAAGGAGGGGTACCAGACAGATCCCGTTTTGTAATAACGTTGGTTCCCAAATGGATCTTTTTTATCTTGTTGACAAATTTTAGATTTGCATCCATACATGATTAAATAGTATCCCACATTTTTTCATTCATCACATTTACATGACATTCTCATTAAAATAACCCCATTAAAATTAACGATATCGGTTGGCCAGTGGGTTTCGCTAAAATTGCGCAGCTACAAGAGAAAAATCAGGACTTCGCATATTTGACAAGATCCAAGATCGAGATCGTCATGGAAGCTTTCCAAAAACAGCTTGATGATATCAAGGGGAAGTTAGTAGGGGTTGAGCAATTACACGAGAAGTTGGCGGGGGTCGACGAGATGAAGGACCAACTAAACTTATTGATTAAGATGATGTCCAAAAAGAAAAAGGAGCCGGTCATTAATGAAGAAGAAGAGGACGAAGAGTTCGAGGAGGATGATAAGTATGTGCCACCCAAGGGAGATGGCTCATCAAAAAGGTTCATCCTCATTACACCAGAAGGCACACCTAAAAAGGAAGAGAAAATTCCAGTAACAAATGATGACCCATAGAAAGTCGAGGGATACATGGAAGATTCGACACTAAAAGAAAAATGGGAATATTTAGATGAGAGAATGAGGGCAATTGAAGGGATGGAATCATATGGACCCACTGATGCTACACAGTTATGTTTAGTCCCAGATGTGGTCATACCCCAAAAGTTCAAAATGCCTGATTTCGAGAAATACAATGGTACTACTTGTCCGAGGAACCACCTAGTTATGTACTGTAACAAGATGGCTAATCATGCTCGAGATGACAAACTCACTGTTTTCAGAACAGCCTAGTTGGCTCAGCCATAAGGTGGTACATGCAACTCGAAAGAACAAAAGTGAAAAAATGGCAAGATCTGGGAGATGCTTTCATGAAACATTACAGGCATAATCAAGATTTAGCACCAGATTGAGAGGATTTGCGCAACATGGAGAAAAAAGAGAATGAATCTTTTCGGGAGTACGCCCACCGTTGGAGAGAAAAAGCGGCAGATGTCCAACCACCACTTACGGAGAAGGAAATGGTATCTGTTTTCTTTGAAACTCTGAAACCCCCATATTACAACAATATGGTAGGGACCACAACTACTTGCTTCACGGATCTGTTGACAATCGGAGAACGAATCGAAAAAGGTATCAAACAAGGTAAGATGGAGGGCCCGGAGGCTATAAAGAAAGCAAATCTGGCTCGAAGAAGAGAAGGAGAGATTCATTTAGTTCAAGGAGAACCTAGCAAAGGGAGGAGGTGGAACCAACAAAATGATCAAACTCATGCCTACGTTGCCAACACCCCATCAGTTGCCCATCGCCCAAATTTCACCTCACCATCAGCTGCTCAAAATCCACCCACTGTGGTACCCCAAACAAATAACCGAGACCAAAATGATACTAGAACATATCGAAAGCCTATTCAGATCGATCATATTCCTATTACTTATACAGAACTCTTTCCCCTATTGCTGCAAAGTCGTCTAATCGCCCCACTACCGTGCAAACCCATGCAACCTCCATACCCAAATTGGTATAAACCAGACCAGCACTGTGAATACCACTCCGGAGTGGCGGGACATTCGACTGAAGATTGTAGAAGACTGAAGGTCAAAGTACAACAAATAGTGAATGCCGGATGGTTAAAATTTGAAGAACAACCAGGTCGACCAAATATCAACAGTAATCCGTTACCAAACCATGGGGGACATGGAGCGAATGCTATCGAGAACTGCGAGGAACATGTAGACCGAAAGAAGGTGTCAGAAATAAAGACCCCTCTGGAATTCATCTATAAAATCCTCTCCTAGAACGGTTATCTTGAGATTCCTGAAGGAGGCATTACTATCCCAGGTCAAGAGAGTACGTGTCCTTATCACGCGGAGTCTGGCGGACACTCTATCCAACATTGTGGTCAATTCAAAGCCAAGTTGCAACAGCTCATGGATGTTAAAATAATCTCAATCCGTACCATCGGCAAAGATAGAAACGAAATCGATATGGTGTCATCACAAAATGAGGGTTCAAAAACGCCCAAGAAAGTGGTTTGCTACCAGCCTGAGACAAGGATCCAGAGTTCACCAACCGCAAACGTTGCCCCGTTAATCATAAAAACCCCAGGGCCATTCAAATATGAGGATCCAAAAGCAGTACCTTGGGTTTACACTTGTCAAGTGAACCAAGAGGTCTCAACTCCGCCATACGAAGCAGCAAATATAATTGGGATAGGAGGAATAACAAGATCAGGCAGACATTATGTTCCAGAAGATGTGGAGAAGCGCAAAATTGAGGAGTTAACCAAAAGGCAGGAAATTAAGCGCGGGAAGCAAAAAATAACGGAGGCCTTGAATCCTGAGATTGTCGAAGAAAGTGAGGATATATTAAAGATGAAAGAGCCAGAAGAATATGAGCCCCAAGCCTCTGACGAAGATGCATGTGAATTCCTAAAGTTGATCAAACAAAGCGAATTCAAGGTAGTGGAACAACTAAACCGCATGCCTGCTCGGATTTCTCTTTTATCTCTAATTCTCACCTCAGAACCTCACCGAAAAGCTCTCATGAAAGTTTTGAACCAAGCCCACGTCTGCCATAATGTATCCAGTGATAAGTGGGATGGGATCGTAGGAGCGGTTCTGACTAATGGCAAGATTTCATTTAACGAAGATGAGATCCCCGCCGAAGGAACAAGCCATACAAAAGCTTTGCATATTTCCTTAAAATGCAAAGGACACATGATAGCTCGTGCGCTTATCGATAATGGGTCAGCTTTAAATGTGATGCCAAAATCAACTCTCAATCAGCTTCCTATTGACGAGTCATACATCAAACCCAGCTTCATTGTGGTTCGAGCTTTTGATGGAACTAAATGAAAAGTGATTGGCGAGATTGAACTTCCGATCCAGATTGGACCAACAGTGTTTAACATTGTGTTTCAAGTGATGGACATCAGCCCAGCATATAGCCTTCTGCTAGGGCGCCCATGGATCCATTCAGTTGGAGCAGTGCCATCTTCATTACACCAGAAAGTGAAGTTCCTTGTGGACACTAATCTGATAGAGGTCTTCGGAGAGGAGGACATACTGGTAACCAAACCCCCAGATGCTCCTTATATCGAGGCCACCGAAGAAGCTATCGAAAGTGCATTCCAGTCGCTCGAAATTGAGGATGTAACGTATGTAGGGAGGGGAAGCAAACTCCGTAAACCAAGTTTCGTTGCAGCAGCTATCATGGCCGCCAAGTCAATGATCAAATGGGTTGACAAGGAAATGTGGACGACTTTAATCAGGCCACCACTTAAAATTAGGGAGAACAAGATTGCACCCAACCAAGGCAACCGATAGGTTCGAGTCCAACCAATCTAAAAACCCATTTTACGTCAATAGACGTGAAAACCGGCAACTTTAAATTCAAGTTTATACCAATAACATCGTCCAATTGGACTCTAACAATTTACATTCAAACTAATTAAAAATAATCGAATATTACGTTTAAATACACAAACAAATCCCAATTAATATTGCACCCAACCCTTTTAAAACTTATCGATTTAAGTAGTACCCGTTATGGGGCGTTGTGGGGCGTGAATACACTTTCCCACACGTAACCGTACTCCCGAATCTAGAACAATCTAAAATTCGCAGACCAGAATCCTGGTTTTAAAAAAAATTAAAACTAGAAAAGGGTGTTCGACCCACCCCAAATTTGGTCGATGACGACTCCGGTCAGTTCGCGACGGATCGCCCTGATTCGCCAGGGGGCGGTTGCGACAGAAAGCTCAGTATGAGCAATTTCCCCAATCCTTTCTCTTCCTAAAATCTTCTTACCAAGTTTCAGGCGGTGCAACCGGTAGTAGCTCGAGCTGTCGGCGACATCTCCTCATGGCTGTGCCATTGACTGAGCTCATCGGTAGCGGCTGCGGGACGAGGGTGAGAACACAATTGTGGTACTCGGACCCAGCACAAGGTCAGCGGGAAAGAGGTAAGACACTTTCCTTGGATCTGCACATATGGACAAGACTAAGCTGTCATTCTTACTGTGGGCGGTGTAGCTTGATTAGCTAGAAGTTTATGGTTTAATTAGTAATTAACTGGTCACGAGGGGATTTGGGGGAATTGATAAAGGGAATTGAGGGTTGTGTTTACATAGGGTCGAGCTAGCATACGAAGGAGAAGGAGCACCTCCTTGATTTGGTGGCAACGGATGCTTGGACACGTAGAGGTAAGCATCCTATCGTGGGTCACTTTAATTCTTGGGTCGGTTTGGAATGCGAAGTGGGTGGCTGCAGTACATATAATTAATCATTTTATATGGATATTGATTGGGGCAAAGGAACTGATGGGAGGACGCTTGATGTTTTCTAGAAAAAGAATGGATGGATGAAAGAATTCATCACGTGGGTGTGGAAGGGAAGCCATACTTGTGTTGATGCATAATCATATATGGTTTGTAAAAGTGACTTGTTCATCTGGAAGCCTTACCAATCAAAGTTGGAGATTGATTTGAGACAGTTGACTTGATTAATAAGCCGAGTGTAAAAGGGGTAAATTCTACGCCATATGTATTCTTTCAAGTTTGACGAGCTTTAAGTATTTGATGAAGTGATTATTATTGCTTGATTGTGTTTATGATTGGTGATATGTGCTTTGTTTGAGCTATGTTTGGAGTGAATATGTAGGAGTTGTTATTTACTTTAAAGCTTTACATTTAGGAGTTATTATTAAAGAGTAAGAAACAAGTTCTTTTAAGGAAGTAAGTCACCTTCAAGAAGGTGAAGTCGTTTTAAGTGTTTTTAGTCACTAGCGC